TGTCCCACCCTCCCTGCTTTTCCCACTCCACAGCTGAAGTGAACTCCCACAGGACGAGGGCAGAGGGGCAGCTGTCTGAGAGAAGCTCAGTGCCCCTGCTGAGCAGTCCCTTCCCCTGGTCAGCTCTGCAGGGAGCCCCAGAGCAAAGGCAAAGCTGAAAACTGCAGGGGAACAGCTGGCTCGAATCCCAGAGGCAACATTTATCATGGTTTAGGGATTATTCATCATTACCACATCATATTATAACTATTATTTGAGTGTTTGTGTAATTGAGATCTGACTACCTGAATGATCCCAGAACGTACCCAGTTACAGGCAGTGGCTTCTGGCAAAAGGATTTGCCTTAATCACATAAAAAAGGATTTGTAAACCATTTTATTTGTACAATTATCCCATTTTATGTAAGCTTGACATTAAGGCTCAGATAATCAAAGATTTGATTAAATTAAATCTTTGAGATTGGCACAAAATCCTAAACCACTTAGCAAAAATCTGATGTTTCCTTCAGTGCATGGAGTCAGATATTCAAGGCACTATCAGGGTGCAAAAACAGTCCAATGAACAGAAAATAGACAATAAAAGGGCTAATCCAATAACTCTGTTAGGAACTGGGGCCTCATTTATGGAAACTTTCAATGTCTAATTTAGTGTATGGTTTTATCTACCTGCTTAATTGGTCTTTGACTCATCAGTGCCTTCATGTTTTCATAAAGAATATCTATATCCATGCAAAATCAGCTCCACGTTACAAATGTTGCACAATAAAAGTATTTTCATTTGATTAGGCCTCAATTTCATTCCCAAAACGCTTTATTTTGTTCTCTGGCATCAACCAGCAACTTCTCATATCCTTAATTAGAAAAATATTTTTTCATGACTGCGTCAGCCCTGTTGAGTTAACTGCAGGGTTTGTGTTTGTTTCCTTTCCTCCATCTGAACTGCTCCATTGTCCTTCCCACAAAGGGTATTTAGGGTGTTTAGGAGGGTATTTAGGGTGTTTAGGAGGCTGTTCTGGGTATTCAGATGGGATTTAGGGTGTTTAGGAGGGTGCTGTGGGAATTCAGAGGGTATTTAGGGTGTTTTGGGTATTCAGAGGGTATTTAGGGTGTTTAGGAGGGTGTTTTGGGTATTCAGGCAGTATTTAGGGTGCTTTGTAGGGTGTTTTGGGTATTCAGAGGGTATTTAGGGTGTTTAGGAGGGGGTTTTGAAGGTATTTAGCTGATGTTTCAGAGCGTTGTGCTGTGAGCACTGTAAAGCCTCAACTCCTGCTGCCTCTGAGGGATTTTTCAGCACTTTCACGGCTCTTTGCAGGTTTAGAAGCACTTCCCACAGGAAAACAGAATTTGTGTGCTGGAAGCCTTAAGGAAAAGCACAACTCGGCCTTTTGTGACTCATCCCCTCCACCAATGCAGATTGATATGGGGATAATTTTGAGCTGTTTTTAAAGCAGAAATCTTCTGGCTCTAGCGAGGTTTGTGTTTTCCTGCCCTCCGGAGCCAGGGGGCTCCAGCGCTGCTATCCCAAGGGAATCTCCCGTGGCTGGCCAATTAGCATCACCCATTACCAGGGATTGATTGCAGTACGTCAAGGAGAAGGAGAAAGGAACATTCTTCAGTCTCTGGGAAGGTGGTGCAGCTGGCAAATGATTTCTTAAAGTGCAAATCTAGCCAAATTGCACCTGTGCCCATCTGAGCAGCTCCCTGGAGCAGAGGACAGATGAATGAGTTTACACAGCTGTGGGGAGATTTGTGTAAGTGAATTAAAGAAATCCCTTCTACAAGTGCTTAGCTGGGATGTCCATTACCAGCGACGTTTGCAGTAAATGTGAGTGGCTGTGTGCTGATAAATCAGCTGTAATCACTGCCTAAGAGTGGCTGTTGCCGGCAGAGGAACAGCCTGACCCGAGCCATTGTCAGGCACAATATTTACCGATCTGTCCGTGGAGACTGTGAAACCCTTACAAAATCTATTGATCCCGAAAACACTCCTTTCTGAGGTGCTTGCTGAAACATTTCAGTCCGTTACGCACCAGCTCTCCCGTGCTGAACTGTGATTCCAGAGCAAACAAGGGAAGGAAAGTGTGTCACCAAATGTCTTCTGCGGGGTCAGACATCCTCGGCGATCATTCCTCTGCTCTGCCAGGGAGCTGCTGCAGAGGCTGCTCACCGGGGCTGTCTGTCTGTCCTGCCCTGGGAAATGTCTGTCCTGCCCTGGGAAATGTCAGTGAAAGGTTTGCTGGTTCTGTCCCAGTCCTGTTCCCAGCCTGGCTGAGCCGGGGAGGCTGCTCTGCCTGTCACCTGCTGGTTCACTGTCACCTGCTGCTCTGCCTGTCACCTGCTGGCTCACACTGTCACATCCTGGCTCTGCCTGTCACCTGCTGGGTCACTGTCACCTGCTGCACTGCCTGTCACCTGCTGGCTTGCCTGTCACCTGCTGGTTCACTGTCACCTGATGCTCTGCCTGTCACCTGCTGGGTCACACTGTCACCTCCTGGTTCACTGTCACCTGCTGGCTCACACTCACACTCACCCTCACCTGCTGGCTCCCTGCCCTGCTCCTGCCCAGCTGGACACAAACTCTGGGGCTGTTCCAGGGCCCCCAGGGCTGTGCCCAGCCTGCACCCCTCACAGGGTGGGCATGGACAGAGGGAGGGGGCAGACAGATGGACAGACAGACAGAGGGACAGAGGGTGGGCATGGACAGAGGTGAGGATGGACAGATGGACAGGAGTGGGGATGGACAGAGGGTGGGGATGGGCAGCGGTCAGGATGGACAGAGGGAGGGGATGGGCAGTGGTCAGGATGGACAGATGGACAGAGGGAGGGGATGGACAGAGGTGAGGATGGACAGATGGACAGAAGTGGGGATGGACAGAGGGTGGGGATGGACAGAGGTGAGGATGGACAGATGGACAGGGCTGAGGATGGACAGCAGGTCTGGGGCTGAGCTCCTGCAGGCTCAGCTCGGGCTGCAGAGCCCAGCACTGCCCTGGGTGCCTCCAGGGACCCACAGGGACTTCAAACGAGCTCTGCTCCCTGCTGGGGCTCCCCAGGAGCCTCCCTGGGGCGGCCTGGCTGCCCAGTCTGCCCAGTCTGCCCAGTCTGCCCAGTGCTGCCCAGTCTGCCCAGTCTGCCCAGTGCTGCCCAGTGCTGCCCAGTCTGCCCAGTGCTGCCCAGTTTGCCCAGTTTGCCCTGAGGGGCTGCCCCAGGCTGTGCTGGCAGCGCTGTGGCTCCTTCAGATCGTGTTTCACAGCATCACAGGAATAAATTCAGACTGGTTTCTGCAGATGGTCTCCCCAGCCTGCTTGCAGTTTGCTGTTTCTGCAGAAATTTCTGGCAGGGAATTTGTTTGCTTGGATTCTCACTGTTGTTTTGGTAAGCATATTCCTTCCCTTGACAGGCCCCTCTTGGCAAATATTTCAAATTCCTGTCTTCCTCTTTTTACATTTTAGTTTTTTCTCAGGATTTTTAGCTGCAGCTCTGTGTTATTTCTAAGAATGGCTCTACTTGTCACTATATGACACAGAACTTGTGGGGTTTGCACAGAACTCCTGCTCTTCCTGCAGGATATTGAGCAGATTGTGGCCCACACTAATGAGGGAGGAAGCCTCAAAAAACTGCAGGGAAATAGGCAAAAGCCAGGCTGGCCACCACTACGCTTTGTAGGAACTGAAATTCAGAACTTCAAAATTTTCTAAACTCTTCTTTTATGGGCCCAAATCAGGATTGCAAACAAAACTCACATTTTATTTCAATACTGAAATTTTGTAGCACCAAACCTGGGTAACCTTGGGGCGTTCATGCAGCGTGAGGGGCTTAGGGCTGAGGGATGTCTCCAGAAAGGGGAACAGAAAAGGTGTGGATGCAGAACAGGTACAGGATAGGAACAGGTGGAGAACATCCCCAGAAAGGGTGGTAGAACAGGTACAGACAGGTACAGGTACAGGTGTTGATAGGGAAATGCAGGGAAGAAGTTAACAGGGATGGAAAGCTTATCAAATTTTGTTTAAAATATAAGTCTTTCAGTTTATTTGGCTGAAAATAAAGAATTTTGAGAGAACTGAAACCAAGACTATCAGAGAAGAGCAGATAAAATAGAGAATATCAGCTAGTTGTAGCTGTTATTTTTCCTTTAGATGTAAAATGCTGGTTAATATTTGTGACATAGAGTGTAATTGGGAGACTCTTATAAAATACTTACATGTAATTAGTTTTATTAAAATAAGAAGCAAAGGAGCAACTACAGAAGATTTTTCCTAGCTTTGTGCAGCTCTGAGCAAACCGGTGAGATAAGGAATGCCTCAGTTTCCCCTGCTTGGGACAGATACAGGGAACCCAGTCCCTGGGAGTGCCACGAGATTTCAATCAGAGCTTTTAAAGCTTTCTTCGGACAGAAATACAGCCTGAGCTTATTTAATAAGTAGGTGTCAGCTTTCCCTCGGGATGTGCCTTGTCCCTCCCAGGTGTGTGACCCCCAGGTGTGGATTTGGGGGGCTCCCCTCCCTGCCCGAGCTGGGGCTGCTCCCAGCGGGACGGGGACAGAGATGAGGAGGTGGGAATGGACAGGAATGGATAAAAATGGGTAGGAATGGATAAAAATGGACAGGAATAATTAGGAATGGATAAAAATTGATACGAATGGGCAGAAATTTATAGAAATAATTAGAAATGGACAGAAATGGATAAAAATGGATAGGAATGGATCAAAATGGATAGAAATGGGCAGAAATTTATAGAAATAATTATAAATGGACAGGAATGGACAGGAATAAAGAGGGAGGACTGGACAGGAATGTTTAAGAATGGACAGAAGTTGATAGAAATGATTAGAAATGGAGAGGAATAAAGAGGTAGGAGCGGGCAGGAGTGCACAGGAGTAACTGGGAATGGCTGGGAGCGGGAGGGAGCGGCGGGACGGGGCCGGGGAGCGCTGACATCACCGCAGGGTGCGGGCTGGAGGTGCGGCTGGAGGGGCGGGCGGGACTCCGCCGCTCTTGTCGGCCCCTGTCGGCCCCTTTCGGCCCGTTTGAGCCCGTTTCAGCCCGTTTGAGCCCACCTGGAGCCCGCAGGGTTCCGCCCGCTCAGAGCGGCATCGCCCCTGCGGGCGGCGCGGCCGGAGCTGCGGGGAGCGCTCCCCGCGCCCACAAAGGTCCCGGGCAGAGTTTTCCTCTTGGCACACGCTGGAACAGAAGGGCTGCACTTCTCTCCGCGGGACAGCACGGCTCCGCGGCTCGGGCACGCTGCTGTGAGTTTTCCTCCGGTCACGGGAGTTTATCCGGAGTTAAATGAAGATACCGAAGGGTGAGGCAAGGAAACAGCGCTTGGAGGGTCTGCAAGGATGTTTTGCCATCACTGAAGGAATGGACCTTTTGAACCTGCGTGGAAAATGTCCTTTTTGATACCAAAAGTCGCAAAGGAAAACTTATGATTGGAATCTTGCAGGAGTTTGAGCTCAGCTGTACTTTTAACCTTGCATAGACCATGGAGAGTTTGTTATCGCTGCTCTGTTGCCATTATTCTTTGCTGATTTTATTTCAGCACAGATATCAGGTAATGCTCTGAAGCTGGGCAGTGTTGAGAGGTGCTTGGATTCCTCGTAGCGAGTTTTGCCTCTCCGTGTCTCACTGTGTAATGTTTTGTGTGCAGGTGTACGGAAACCATTCCCAGCTCCCCAAGCACCCAGGTAAGGAGCGCTCTGCTTCCATTTGGTGACAATGTGCCTGAGTATTTATTTGCTTTTTCTGCAGTTTGCGGGTTGTTTGTTTCCTTGGTAGCCCCAAAGAAGCTGAGCCCATGTTTGAGTGGCAGCCTGTATGAAAGACGGAACAGCCCAAGGTATCAGACTGCCCCAGTCATTGTGAATTCAGTACCCAAACACTGAATATTCCGGAGAGAAACACATTTGGGGAAAAATGCCTTGTATTTGATATGTGGGAAAGTCCTGTTGTTTATCCTCACTTTCCTGGAGTGTGAGTTTCTGAATCAAATCTCTGCACAGACTGTTTTCCCCTGGATGTTCAGCAGTTTTTGTTCAGTGATGAACAGTTTTATGTGCCAGTTTGTACATTTTGCAGTGCTCTCATGGCTTCAAGTGCTCTCCCCTCCTCCCAGCCTTCACACTTGGGTTTAAATCACTTACAGAGCAGATTAAGGATTTCTCATCTGTTTCCAATGTAAAAAACTCACCCAGAGCTCAGAAGGGTTTGTGTGTGTGACTGCAGAATTCTTCTGTTTATATAAATAGTTTAACCTCAAGCCTCATGGTGGTGTACAAGTACAGTTTTACTGCTTTGCCAGCCCCGGCACTGCTTTTTTCAGTTTTAACCACATGTAATTATTCTCAAGTAAAAGGCAGAGCAGTGGGGAAAGGCCACGTCTGTTGAGGGAGCAGCTTCAGGCTCATTAACAGCTTCTGCTCCACCTTTGCTCAAAACCAAAAAGGGAGGGAATTTTTATTTCCTACAAATGAGAGTCTGTGGCTCCTGGCTGGTGGGACAGGAGGGGAAAGGCTGGTGCCCCGGGGGCTGCTTTGGGGGCAGGGTGTGGGCAGGCTTTGCTGAGGGATGCTGCTGGGTTTGGAGGAGCCCCGGGCTCTCTCCTGAGCGGGTCCTGCCTCTGGGAAGGGTTTTGCACTCAGGGCAGCAGGTCCGTGCTCCAGCTGGGTTGGAATTTTCGGATGATGTGTGTGCTTGCTGTGGGTGCCTGTCCTGGCAGTGCCCTGTCCCCTCAGTGCCAGCTGTGCCCTTCTCTGCCTCCCAGGCAGCCAGAGGAGATGGGGAGCCCCAGAACCCCATTTCCACCCCATTTCCACCCCCTGAGACACCCCATCTGATCTGTTTGTGCTGTGCCCTCCTGGAGGGAAAGCCTCTATGACAACGGCAAACATTTAGTTAGGTGGGCTAAGAATAGATCCCGAATTAATGGATTCAATCGTGAATCATTTGTTAGATATCTCTGCTGCAGTTGACTTTGGAAGCAAGTCTGAGCAGCTCTTGTACCCTCACAAGATGCAGAACTTGGAGTTCTGTTTCCTCAGATCTGCAATTGCTTCTTGTGAGGTTTAGCCATTTCACCAATTTGCACTCAAAAAAATAAATCTTAGGATTTGTAACACCTCAGAAACTGCACCGTGAGGATGGAGGCCATCAAAGTGCTCTCCAGGGGTCATTAGGAACTTTAATCAAGTCTTTGCACCTTTGTATCCATGATACAAATCTGGTGTGTATCCAGGACAGGAAAATGACAGCAAAACAGGCAAAAGGGTTTGATGTCACAGAATCAAACCCAAGGTGTGGGGTGAGCTCAGAGGCCGCAGGACACAGCTCCCGGCTCGGGTTCATTAATTACACCCTTGGTGTGGGGGGTTCTGCAGTGTGTGACAGCTGAAGTGGGGTTTGACAAACTTTCCTGTCAGCTTCTCACTCAGTCTCCTGAAAGAGTGCTTGGGATGAAAAATGACTGCAGGGCAGAGAACAAGAAACGTGCTGTGACAGAAAGCCTGCTCCCCTTGTCCCTGCTCCTCTGTGCTGTCCCAGTGGCCCAGACCTGTGGGAAGATATGCCATGATGGTGCATCCATGGAAAACTTCTGTGCCTCTGTATCAACTGCCCCAAACTTTCTCAGCTGTAGGACGTGCTAAATTTATTTCATCACATCTGATTAAATGGACTGTTTTGAAAATAAAGGGTTTCTTGCAGCAAGCAAGATAGTAAGACATTACAAGTCATGTTTTTCTACACTAGTAATGCTCCACCCTTAAAATAGAATTGTTATCTTAACAGAAAATGTGGTTGTTTTGGGCAGCCTGCTCCTGATTAAGCTCTCCATGTCCCAGAATTTGTTCAAGCTCTGGTCAGTCAGACTGCACAGAGGGAAATGCCAGTGGAAACCTGCAGGTGTTGGCCTCTGTCAGCTTGTCCACCTGCTGGAAAGGAGAACTTGCAGGAAAACGAGGTGTTCCCCAAAGCCCCAGTCAGTCCTAGTCAGTCCCCAGCAGCCCCAAGGGCTGTTCTGTTTTGGGGTGCTGGGCAGGCTCTGCAGGAAGGGCTGGGGCAGCTGGGAGCTCTTCCATGGCTGCTCTGGAAGCTCCTCTCAGGAGAATCCCCCTCCTTTGGTGCCCAGGGAGCAGGGCTGTTTGCTCTGGAGGCTGAACCTCCCTGTGTGTTCCCCTCCAGGGCTCTGGGCTGTCCCCACGTGCTCAAAACCTCAGTAAAATCTGGGAAAAAGCCACTCTGCAGTGACTGCTGAGCTGTGGCTTCAGTGGGTGCTGCAGACACACAGCAGGGACTCAGTCAGAGCCTGGGACACGTTTTAGGTGCAATTAGAAGGAGAATCAGCTGGGATTTAGAAGCAGGTTTTCTGCAGTGGTTAATCAGTGATACAGCTTTAATCTACTCTGCTGCTTTGATTTATGACCACGCTTGTGTGCCACACTTGATTTACATAAAATGTTTTGGTTTACTTAGCCTTTTGACATCCTTTATGGTTATTTTCTGTGGAGACTTGTTACACACCTTGTTGGTCTTTTATTTAATAATCTTTTAACCTGTGTTTCTTGAAAGGGTTCAAAGTCCTGGCATCAGCTTCCCATTACTGGCCCCTGGAAGATGTGGATGGAATTCACGAGTTCCGGGATACAAACGGAGGTAGACAAAGCCTTCCCTGGCCGTGGCAGCAGCACAGCTCTCTGTGCCCGCCTGGCATCACCAGGGCCAGCGGGAGATGAGGAAGGGCTTCACTCCTGTAGCCCAGGGGTTGAGGTTTTTTCCCAGCTGATGTTTTTGCAGGGCTCCGATATCCAAATGGTGTTGTATTTGTCAGCTGATTTTTATGGGGTGTGCTCCGAGGTTTTATGGGCTGTGTGTGCATTGCTGAGGTTATAAAGAGAAAAGGTTTATGATGCAAGCAGTCGTTGAAATCACATTGTTAGTAGTTGCTTTGGTACCTGCACAGCATGCTCCAGGTGCTCAGGGTCTGGGGTCGCTGCTCTGCCAGCAGGGAATGTCTCTCCGGTGATTTTGGGAGCAGTTAAATGCCTGAGCTCCTCAGGCACCTTTGAACGTTCATGTGGTGTCTACAGAGAGAAAAGTGTAAGCTCTCGTCTGGGCACCTCACTCATTTTATCTGCCTTTGGGAGTTCCCTTCAGAGCAGCATTGCAGCGTGAGTTGATATCAAAGTTAAATTCCTTTCCCAGCTGGGCAAAATCAGGAGAGATTTGAGGCCAGGCTGTCCCTGATTATCCAGGGTGAGCTGTGAGGAGTGTGGGACCCAGAGAACATGGCATTTCTGCTGCAGGGCTGGCTGGGGCAGCCAGAGCCCCCGGTGCCCAGCTCTCCCTGCAGGGTGTTCCTCCCTGGGCAATGGGCTGAGCTCAGGATTCAGGAGCTGGCTGTGCCCTGCTGACACCTCGGCAGCTCCAGCCTGTGCTGATGTGCATCCCCAGAGCCCCCAAACCAGTGCCAGAAACGGCAATTCCAGCCTCTCATCTGTGAATGCCTAAATCCCTTTATTGTAGAGGTGTTCAAGTATTTTCAGCCTAAACTTCGACCTCTTTCCACAGAATTTCTGGAGGAATGGAATTGCCTGAGCAGAAATTATCTGGGCAGTGTTCTGCTTCCATTAGGAGCTGATGGCAGCATTCCTACTGACTGAACAGAAGAATAATTTGCCTTACAAAAGTTGCCACATAAGTTCTCTAGAAGTGTGTTAAAGTAATTTTCTGACCCTGGACTCCACGTGGTTTCAAAAAGAGTGAAGTGCTCCATATCTAGCACAGTTTTGGCAATCATGTTACAACCAAGCTGTTCTGAAAATGCTTGAAAATTATATATATATATATATAATACAGCTCTTGGAAAAGGACAATTGATGTTAGATCGTTTTACAAATTTTGTTTAATTTTACTTCAGCAAAATTCAGAAATATTTTCAGTGCCTTGGAAGAGAGAAAGCAGAACAGATGAAGTTCTGGTCCTCCCAACCTTCACTTGCAGGAAAGGGACTGGCTCACAGGAGCAATCTCTCTTGATTCCTATTATGACATGGTGATAAAGAAATTATAAATGAGCCAGCTGCAGCACTTGCTGAAAATTGTGGTGGATTTTGTGTTACAATTACCTGCAGGGGCCATGGGCAGAGGTCTGTCCCTGCAGTGCTGAATTCTCTGCAGTGCTGCACTGGATGGCTCAAATTCCTCCCACTTGTTTATATTGTGCCTTATCAGACACAGATATCATTTCAGCTGCTTCCAGCAGAGGTTTTATCTACCTGATGTTTCGCTTTGATATACAAGAAGAGTGTTCTTTATCGTTGTAATCTACTCCAGGTGACAATTTGCTTGGGTTTGGCTCCATTCTGATTACACAACTCTTCTGTTTATTGCAGAGTCTCTCTTGTTTTTCCACTCATCATATCATGCGATTATTTTCATTCCATGTTTTTCCTCTCAAACCCTTGAAGCACCATAATCTGTCCGTCACGTTAATCCATTTTATTTGTTGAAGTCATTGTGTGCGAGGCCAGATTTGTATCTCTCAGAGCATCCGTGTGCTGAGAGTGTGTCAGCAAATTAATGTTTTGGAAATCTCAGCACTAGAAGCAATTGAAAGGAAACAATCAGCTCAAAATATAGCAAATAAAAAGAAAGTGGCCATGCTCAGGTTTTTCATCTGGCCCCTTGATTTCCATGCATTTTTATCGGGAGGTTTTTGTGTGTTTTTCTTTTCCTAAGAGCATTTGTCTTTTTGTTCTGTGAGCTCAGTTGGTCTAAATGCCAAATCAATGTCTCTCCATCTACTTTCATGGGCTTTTCATCAGGCTTTATTTGCCTGCCCAGGGTAAACAATTACAGTGTGCAAGATACTGTTACATTTTCAAAATCAGAGAAAAAATTAGAGAATAAAACCTTATGGTCAGACATAAAAAAGTTGGAGGTTTGTTGTACTCTGCTTTGTGCCCACTGCTCTGAGCTGCTCTCTGGGCACAGGCAGGAGAGCCTGGCCCATCTCTGCATCGTCCCTGGGGTTTTGCACCCTGCAGGCTGAGCAGCCCCAGCTCCCTCAGCCTCTGCTGCCCTGCCCCAGGGAGTGCAGTCCCTTCTGGGCAGCCAGCTGCTGGGCCCTGCAGTGATTTTCATCGTGCCGTTATTCTTTTATTGTGCCAAATTATTTTATGTGTTGTATTTTATTTTATTCCTTGCCAGCAGGAGGGAGCTCACAGCCCTCCAGCTGCAGCTGGGTTTGTACAGATTTTTCTGCTCAGTGACTGATGGGAACCTGCCTTTAGTGGCTCTGCCTTTCCCTGAGCAGGTGGAGCCCAGGGAGAAGTGTGCTAAATTTAAATTTAAATTTAAATCAACAAACCTGTGACCGATGCTGTGCTGAGAGATACGAACTGGCCACTTCATTACTGATGGTGTTTATTCATTGTTTTGCTTATTTGCTTGTTTTCTTTTGTTGTTCCACCCAGCTCTAAGAATCCACAACTTCACTGTGCTTCCTTCCCATAACTCTACCTTTGTAAATACCAATGACTCTGCCTACTCTAACTTCTCTGCAACTGTAGGTGAGATTTTCTCGTTTTTTGTTCTGCATTTGTCAGGCGTGGATGGTTCTTGTAACCTTGGATTCAGAGTGAACTCTGGGTTTGGGTTCAAGTGCTCCTGTGGTAAAAGTTGTTGTTGTTATTATTATTATTATTATTACTACACTGTCACCCATTGCTGGAAAAGCAGCCTGCAGTGCTACCTGGCTTGCTGGAGGTCTGGGAGAGGCATCCCCACGTGAATCCCACGGCAGGATGGGCCCAGGGATCCTCCAGAACCTAAAAAAATTCCATCATGCTTTAAAGAAGCAGAGATGACATTTCAGAGGAACATATGAGAATAAACAGGTTATTTTTTTCCTTGTCTTTCAAGGCTAAAATGGAGAAGAAGCCCTCTGTTTTTCACTGGTTTATAATAGTTTTTCAGTACACGTTAAGAAAGACAAATGCAAGCAGATTTGCAAAGCCTGGAAGTGAGATGTCAGTCATGACAATTTGGGTTAACATGATGGTTTGTTTTGGTTTTTTGTTTGTTTGTTTTAAATGAGAAGGAAACCTTTCTATATCTGTCCTTATATTAATTTTTTAACATCCACATGTAGGAGATCAAAGGAAGAACAGAAAATGACAAGTCCCAGGCAGAAACCTGGCAGACTGGAAACCAGCCACAGCAGCTTAAAGTCACTTAATTTCAGTAATTGCATTTGTGCTGTGTGGCTGCAATTGAAATGTGACCTCGTGCCCACTCTGCCTTGGGTGTTAGCTCACATCAAACTGTCAGGAAACCCGACCTAGGAGAAGGATGGAAATGGTAAAACTGTCACTTGGGCTGCTCAGATAGCAAGAGTTTTATATTGGAATACTAAACCCACTATTTTTTACTCTCTAACAGTAAAAGTGTGCTGCCAAATGGGAACTCTATTAATGATGAACTTCAAATGACCCTAATTCCTTTCAGTCCTCTCTTATCTGCTTTATAGACCATTTGCACAGTTCTCACATAATAAAGTATGTTCAGTATGAACATTACAGAGAGTGACACCCGTGGCCAAGGAAGTGCTGTGGGAGCAGAAATGTGTTACCTTGTGGGAACTTCCCTGCAGAGGGGAATTTATCATTCAGGTGCCTTCAGAAGAACTTGGAAATGCTGGATTTTCTCCATACACTCGCACATTTTAAAAAGGAACTAAATTTTATCTGTCAGAGGCAGGGCTTGATGGCTTCTTCCTCAAAGGGAGGAGAAGATACCTGAGAACTGATATTTGAATAAGGATTTGGGATGAACTCAGAGAACGCTGAAACATGCGTTCATTCAGAAAAGGAAAATGTTTCCCACTCCTGGAGCTCCCTCGGGGCACCTCTTCCCAACATTTCTCCAGAAGAAATCCTGAGGAAGGTCCTAAACCCAGGGTCCTGAATGCCCCCAGTGCTTGCAGAAATGCCATCCCAAAGAGTGGTGGGAGCAGGAAATCCCCCCAGCAAGTGACATTCTGTCTGCTCGGGAGCAGGCAATCCAATATCCCCTGTTCCCTGAGCGCAGGCATCCAGCCCAGCAGGTTTGCTGCTGATTTCTGCTTGTGTTTCTGGTTGTGATTTCCCAGTGTCTGCACTGTGAATCCAGCCAGGACACAGGGGAAGAGCTCCCCATCATCTCCTGTCAGCTGCCCCCAGAGCTTAGTGAGGCTCCTGCAGCAAACACAGCAGGGTTCTCGCGTTGAGGGGATTCCTGGATGAACCAACAGTGCTTTTCTTTGGGAGGGAACCCAAGGAAATCACAAGCAAATTAGTCATTATTCGTGCTGGATAAAGCAATTGCCTTTCCAAGGACACCCCAGCAAGGAATGTCTGAAAGGAATCTGTTTCTGTCTTTGACTGGGCTTGTCAAGGATCTCTCATTGAGATATTTTTCAGTGAAAACTGCGGTTGGATCACCAGCTTGCCATTTCAAACAAAGAAACATTATTTTGTTACACTTTAATTAGTTAAAGAATTTCTTTACTAGCTCAGCCTAACAGTAAGACACTAGGAAGTGTCTGGCATTCCAAACTCTCAGATTACTTTAAAATAATCATTTTTGGGTGTGTGGTTCTCTCAGTCTCAGTTAACCGCAGAGCTGAGTGGATATGAGTGTGATGTTTACAAACTTGAAATAAATGAGCTGTCTGTGTGGTCTTTAAAAATACAACAAACCACTGACAAATGGAAGCAAACAAAGAAACTGAACACACCGAAACAGACAAACTGGAACAAAAACACCAAAAAGAAAAACAAACACAGAAAGTAACAATGCCATATAGTTGGACCAAGATAAACACCTGAGCTATCGGAGTCTGACAAAAACAGGTTTCCAGGAAGTTTTCCTTTATGTAAATGTTAAACTGGATTTTGCTTTTGCTTTAGATATTGTGGAAGGGATGGTGAACAAAGGAATTTACGTCACTGAAAAGAAAGGAGTCACCTTTCTCTTCTTTGGAAGCTATAGAAATTCTTGCATCAGTAATCCAGAGGCTTGTGGGCCTGAAGGTGAGAAATTCATTCATTGTGGTATTCAAGAATCATTGTTTCCTTCCTCCTTGGAATGAAATCTAAAAATGAGGCTGGACACTTTATTGACTTCTGAGACAATTGGGTGTTGATTGCTGAAGATTTAGTTTTTTCTAACTGCAAGGTAAATTAGAGCTGATCACCAGCTGCTCAGATTCCGTGTGGCCTCTGCAGGAGTGGGCTTAGGCTTTTTGGATTTATCTCTAGAGATAAGAACATTTTAGGTCTCTGGGGTTATGGAATCCATTTGTCCAATTCATAGGTGCTGAAATCCATTCTGTTTCATGTGGAATTCATGTAATATTCTTTCAGTACCTGTAGTGTAAAGTAACAATCAGAATAAATTGTTTTGGAGTACCAGAGCACTCCCAGTATCTCACAAACAAGAACGTTAAAGGCATAAAACACTGAAACATTCAGTAGATAAAATGTGAGGAGAGGAAATCATATAAATAATAAACACTAAGTCACTGGAGCACATATTAATAGAAGGAAAAAAAGGAAAAAGGCAACACCCTTTTCTCTAAAGACGGTGTCTGTTTTTTTCAAATCAAATGCACCTGTGGTGAGGGCAAGGTGGGATTTTATTTCTGCTGCTGCTGCTAAACCACCCCTTGCTGTGTTCGTGTGAAAGTGGTGTCAGGCACCCTCAGCCAGGGAATGCTCTTGGGATCTTCCCAGGTTAAATACTACACCCCATGGAACAAAAACCCCAGTGTTTCTTCTAAGGCTGAGTTTCACAACATTTCAGGACTATTATTTTTACTTGAAAAAACAAATTCTCCTTTTGGTGTGTTGGAACATTCTTCTCAAGCATCTTTAAACAATGGTTTTCTGTGAGCAGCTGTGGCTCATTGCAGTCAAAAGGAACGTTTGTGGCAGGTGCAAGAGAATGTTCTCTTGTTCCTTGGCTGAGCTCCTTTGGAGAAGCTGCCTGTGGCCAGCAGATGTCAAGTGGGAGCGAGGTTTGATCTGCCACTTGTGTGTCAGTGGAGCCTTCTGGGGTCCTTTATCAAAGAAAGCCACCTTATGGAAATTGCATTTATTCACCAACGTGTGGCCTGGAGAGCTGCTCCATTCCACGGGTAACGGTGAAATCTGCTGTGAACAGGATTATTTGTGGATGAAGTTAATCACACGTGCGATTGCAGGACTGTGTCGTATTTTTGGGACAGTTCTTTTATTTTTGTCTACGTGGAGACCTCAGAATCTTTCCTGTGGCTCTGCATGTCCAGTTACCCCTTTATGTGACACCTGGCTCGCAGGAGCTGTTGGTGGATGAAGGGTGAAAACACACACAACAGCTTAGGAAATCCAGCTGTAGCAGGGTGGGCTGGAGCCAGGCAGTGCTGAGGAGCTCCAGAGAGGGCACTGGGTTAAATCTGCCTGTGCTGGGGCCTGGGGAGCACCAAAACACCTGTAGGTGCCCTCTGGAGACCAAAGAACTTTGGTTTTCATGGAGAGAAGCTGCTCAGGACCCTGCTGTGTCCTCACGGTGTGCAAAGCTGAGGGAGGGATTGTTTATCTGGTTTAAACTGTTGGAGCATTGTTGATGTTAGAAATGCTGTCCTGGTCTGTGCCAGCAGATGAGCTGTCCTCTAAAGCATTCCCACTGCCTGTATCCTAGACTTTGGAAATTTTCAATTGCACTTGGTTTTCTCATTCAAGTCTCCTCTCCCTTGCTTTCCTCAGGAGTAACATTTTCCTTCTTCTGGAAGACTCAAGACCAACAGGCCAAGCTTCTCCCTGCCTCTGGTGGAAGAGTAATTTCCAGTGGTTTCAAAATCTGCTCCAATGAAGGTGAAGGCTCCGTGGAATTTTACACCCGTGGGAATGCAATGATGAAATGGAAAGCAAGCTTTAGTCCACCAGGTAAAGTTTCTGTATTTTAAAAAACCTGATTTCTTTGTTGTGTTTTGCTTTATTCCTGCAGACAGAGGTAGTGAGAACAGCACAGCTTCAGGAAGGAGAAGGGGTATATAAAAATAGCTACAGACCTCTGTGCTTGGGCATTCTCTTGGTGTGGGGAGGAGGGGTGGAATAGAAAGGAAAGCAGTGATGTATTGCAGAGCACTTGCCATTGGCCAGCAGCCCTTGGATCCAGCTTGCAGAGGTGTCTGAGTGCAGTCCTTATTGACTGCCGTGGTTCATGAATGTCAGCGTGGGAACACGAGCAAAGAATGCAGAGTAATCCCTGACAGCTCCCAGGGCATCCCAAACCTGCTGAATTCAGCCTTTATTGGGTAACTCTCTCACTGCTCTTTGATGCTTTCGTGGTTCTGTTTCTGTTGAGTGCCAGGTTTCCTATGCCAAGCCATAGCATTAATGAATATTTTGGTATATCACATGTCTCACTGCTTCTGTCTAAACTGTGCCTTGCTGGGGAGCACTAATATCTACTGACTGGAACAAATTCTGGTCTTCCAGTAATGCCAATGGCATTCAATAAATATTTTCTTGCCCTAATTTGGCTGCCTATACGTTGTTAAAATAGGACTCAAGGTAGCAGTTTCATAAACCTTAATGAATCAGTTTGGAAACCTTATTTTAAGAGAAAAACTGCAAATGGCAGAATAATTCTCACGTTGTAGATTATCCAATCCAAGTGAAAATTAATATTGTGTTCTCTGTCTCTCAAGCACAACAAGGAAACGGTGAGAACCGTTGAGTGGTCGATGTGCTTGTTCTCCAGCTCTGGCAGTCTTTGTGCTGTTTGTGCTGGGCTGAGTTTGGGGCAGGAGAGAGGAGAGCTCAGATCCTGGCCAGCAGCGCTCAGCAGGGGGAATTTATGGAGCTGCAGTGAGCCCGGGTTCAGACAAAGCTGAGGGCATCCTGCCAGCCGTGGGCTTCCCCGGGGCACAGAGTAACGGGGCAGCACCAGCAGTCCGTGGATCCCCGTGTGGGGAGCTCGGCCTGGAGCCCTCAGCCCTGCCCGTCTCTGCTGCCTCGCAGGCCCCTTCTGGACGCACGTGCTGTTCACCTGGCGGCCCCGGGAAGGCCTGAAGGTGTACGTGAACGGCACCCTGCGCACCACGGACCCCCAGGGGAAGGTGTTCTACGACTACGGGGACGCGGGGGCCGAGCTGCTGGCGGGCGGCGAGGGCGCGGCCCGGCGCTCCGTCAGCGGCGCCTTCGACGAGTTCGTCATCTGGGAGCGGGCCCTGAGCCCCCGCGAGGTGCAGCAGTACTTCACGGCCGCCGTGGGTGAGTGGGGCCTGCCGTGGGCAGGGGGCTGGCACGGGGGCGGCCGGGCAGGGCTGGGTGCCCCCACACCCTCTGCTGCTGAGCACAGCTCCGAGGCGCCCATGGTGAGGGGCACTGGAACTGGCACAGGGTGAGGGGCACTGGCACAGGGTAAGGGGCACTGGAACTGAGACAGCCTCAGGGTGAGGGGCACTGGCACAGGGTGAGGGACGCTGGCACTGCCTCAGGGTGATGGGCACTGGCACTGGCACAGCCTCAGGGTGAGGGACACTGGCACTGGCACAGCCTCAGGGTGAGGGACACTGGCACTGGCACAGCCTCAGGGTAAGGGGCACTGGAACTGGCACTGCCTCAGGGTGAAAATGCAGTCAGGATCAGATCCAGCCTGTAACCTGTCAGTGGATCTGCACAATCAGCCTCTCACCCCAGGAGAGGCTCTTGCTGCTCAGTGGGAGCAGCAATCAGAAACCATCCCCCCTGGGAATAAAGAAACCTAGAGCGTTCTGCTGCCCTGGGAGCTGGACTTTCATTTGTGCTCACGAGTTCCCGAGAGCTAAAGCAATTGCACCCGTACCTGAGGTGCTTTTAAACCCCTGGGAAACCTCTATCACAGAATTTCTGGTGTGTGCCTGGAAATGAGAATGTCTGTGTTTGTGACTCCCAGGTTGGATTACCCCAATCAAATATGGACAAAATGTATTCCATAAAAAGCTAAAGGATAAGCTCGTTATGTAGGATTGAAGTTACTGAAAAGGAAAACCCTCCACCTATGGGTGTATAATGAAGTTATCTCTTTGATTTGTCCCCAAAAAATTGTAGGAATTTTGCTTACTTTTTTTTTAATGTAAAACAATGTTTCCTATAAAAGTCTTCAAAACTTCTGATCAGGAGAGTACTCATTTGATAGTCATTTGATACAGGAAATAACTTAAAAATCTTTAAAAAGTTTATAATGCCCTGGTCATGGTGCAAAAATGCTTTTGTGTTTGGCTGCTGTATCTTTGACAACAATGGAGGGTTACTATAACAGTGTCCAGCTCAAGCTGCCATTAATCACCCTCAGTGATTAATGCAGCTCCACAAGAATGCTCTGCTCTAAACCCAAGAGCAGCAGATTTCAAATCGCCCCAATTCATCAATATGTGTGCCCTGTTCCCCTGCCAGGGAAGAACGGCTTAAATAAAACCAGGGAGAGCTCTTTTTAACCCCCTGGCCCCCGGGGCCCCCAGCCCTGCCCTGTGTCCCCTCCACGTCCCCTGGGACAGGCCAGGCAAATCCAATCCTGTAATCCTGTTTTTTCCAGGGAATCCAGTCCTGTGCAGGGCTCCCTTCCCTCTGCCCTGGGGGTGTCCAGGCCCCAGATATCCAATCCTGTAATCCTGTTTTTCCAGGGAATCCAGTCCTGTGCAGGGCTCCCTTCCCTCTCCTTCCCTCTGCCCTGGGGGTCTCCGGGCCTCAGACCTGCCTGCTGGGCATCCCTGCTGGGAGCCCCTTCTGAAACCCTGCTCAGGGTGCTGGGCCCCCCAGTTCTGCCGAGCCCAGATGTTTTCAGAGCTGTGCAGAATTCTGCCTGCATCCCACCTTTAATCCCCGCTGATTTTCAGGAGGCTGCACAGCAAACTCCTTGATTTGTACCTTGAGATGTCCCTGCACCTGTGGCTTTACTGCAATTTCCATGGCATTAATTGCTCTGTTGAGGGGTTTTTCTCCTAAATTCCTAGTTCACGGTTTTTCAGTGTCATGTGGAGCTATCAGAATGCTGTGAAAATCAATGTACAGCCTCTTAATTGAAAGTGAAGCTGAATGTGTATTTTCCAGGGGCTTAGGAATCCAAATGTAAAGGGATGCCAGGTATATATATTTTTTTTTAATTAGAAAGAAGGATTCCAAGCCAACATTGTTTTAATGTGGTCAGGTGTTTTGGAGCACTTGGGAAATGTGGCAATTTAATTTTTGGCTTTTCTCTTTAAAATAATATACTGATTGGGTTTTGTAAAATTTCCCACTTAATGTATGAAATTAGAATATTATCAGAGGAAGCAATGGGTATTACAATAATAATCAACATAGGCAGAAAGGTTATGATATCTATTTATTGATTTTGGGGGATTTCTAGGAGGGCTGAAGCACGGTAATGTGCTTTGACATAGGGAAACAGGACAGCCTGGTTTTTAATTGAATGAATGTTCATGTTCCTTTTGGATCTGTGAGAGAATGGGTCCTGTGTATGCAGCTAGATTCCACACCCCTGGCAAAGAATAACTCTTGGTCAGATGTAGATTAGAAGAAAATGTTATTACTCTGTCACAAATGACTTATAAATGGCTTTGCACAGAAAGGAATCAATACTTTTTAAATGGAGCAACTGAAAGCCATCCAGAATCAAGTTTATTCTCTCTGCCTTGACAAATCATTCTGGCATGCTCACATGGTCATGTTCAGTGCACCATTTCTACCCCTGCTTTCATTTGGGGGCTCCTCAGTTTGGCTGCAAGCACTGGGAGTATTTCCACTGGCTTTCAATGTTTTTCAGATACTCAGATCAGAATTTCTGATGGGGAAAGCCTTTCTGAGCTCACCTCTGCGGGTGTGATTTTATTTGGCACTGGGACAATTCAGACTCCAGATGTGAGTCAGCAGCTGGAGATGGGAGCTGGGACCTGGCCCTCGTTTCTCTGGGTCCCAGCAGTCCCAGTCCAGTTGGTCTCACACACAGAAAGAAAACAAGATCTTCCATGAAATTGTCAGAACTGCCCATAGATCATTATTTATTTCTGATAAGACAGAGGATTTAAAAAGCCCCAAACCCTAAAGAATTTCTGCAAATGTTGGGGAAAGAGCTGGAGGAGAAAGATGGGTGTCAGTGTTGTAACTGTACCATTGATCTTTTTAAACCGAGATAAAACACTTGAAATTTCCTGTTTGCAAACAAATATTTAAGTGTGTAATACTTAAACTACTGCAATGCTCATCTGTAGTAAGATGATGGAATAAAACTGATGAGAGAATCAGAAAATTAATTTTTTTAAAACAAGGCTGTGTGGCTACAGCACTGGAAATAAATAAAATCCACAGACCAGCAAATCTGTTGCTTTCAGTTGGAACTGATTCAGCCTGAGGTGGGAATATATATATGAAATTATGTATCTGATATAAAAATCCAGATTTGTTAACACCCTCATTTGTGTTTGTATTTCCCCAGGTGTGCAAGTCCTGCTCTCCTCAACACTTCCCTGGTCTCTGATGACAACCACGACAGCCCCCGTGGTAGGACAGTGCTCAGGACTCCTTTCCACAAAGTTCCTAAATCCCAGTTACAGACCCTGCTCCCTGCTTGATTTTCCTTTATGGCACTCATCTTCATACCTCAATTATAAGTGCCTTTGGACACGCACAGGCAGGAGTTTTAGCCACTATGGGAAGATGGAACACAAAGGAAATTCCCTGTTAAATAAAATACTTACTACATTAAAAAATGAACGAAAGTAGCAACTTCTGAAGTATTACTATTAACTTTGAAAATATAGGGGGCTAAAAACCATATTGATAATGTTCCTTTTCCTTCGGCTCATACAGATAATCTGGTTTATTCTGTGCTGGGTTGTGTCCCTGCTAAGGGCAGTATGGATAATCTGGGATGCCCTGTGCTGATTTCTGTCCCTGCTAAGGGCAGTACAGACAATCTGGGATACTCTGTGCTGATTTCTGTCCTTGCTAAGGGCAGTGTGGATAATTTGGGATACTCTGTGCTGATTTCTGTCCCTGCTAAGGGCAGTATAGATAATTTGGGTTATCCTGTGCTGATTTCTGTCCCTGCTAAGGGCAGTGTGGATAATTTGGGATACCTTGTGCTGATTTCTGTCCCTGCTGAGGACAGTGTAGACAATCTAGGTTATCCTGTGCTGATTTCTGTCCCTGCTAAGGGCAGTACAGACAATCTGGAATACCCTGTGCTGATTTCTGTCCCTTTGCAGCTCCCCACCGACGCGTACCAGCCCATCCTCGCAGCGCTGAGCCAGGACAGGGGCAGCTCCTCCTCGCCCAGCTCCCTGCTGGGGCGCCTGCAGAACGTGTCCTCCAGCCTGCCCCCCAAAGCCCTGCCTGAGCACACTGCCCTGAGCCTGGCCCAGGTGAGTGGGGCTCCCCGGTGGGCCTGGGTGCCCAGTGCAGCTTGGGCAGCCTTTGCTCGCCGCAGGCACCACCTGTGAATGAAGCAGTGGTGCTTTAGGGAGCAGCTGAGCAGAGCAGAGCTGAAATGTCTCACCAGTCCCTGGAGATATTACCTTGTGCCTTTGGAGCCATCCTGGCCAAGGAAGGCACTGAGGGGCTGGGGCTCTTCTCACAAACAAGGACAAGAAATAGCCTCAGGTGGTGCCGGGGAGACTTCAGTTGGATCTCAGGGAAAAATCCTTTCCTGAAGGGGCAGTCAGGCACTGGGACAGCCTGCCCAGGGAAATGGTGGAGCCACTGTCTCCTCTGAAATGGGTTCAAGGAATTTCTTTTATTCAAGCCAATCCACAGAGGGGAAAAGGCAAACAGGTATTTTCTGCAGTCTGACCGTGTCCCACCAACATCAAGTTTATAACATGGGGTGCTGGGATGTGATGGGCCTCTAATTCCCTGATTTCAGCAGGCTGAAGCCATTATTGCAGTAATCAGCTCTGGCCTCGCTGCTGATTGTTCCCCTAAGCCTGAGGGTAATTCCACAGTGACAAGGGCGCTTTACTCAGACAAAAAATACAAATAAACCTTCTGAAAACCACAGGGACAGCAACTGAGAGACTGTATTAAAAGCTTAGCATTTGCAAACTCTAAAGCTTGGATTTCACGGATCACAGTTTAGTATGTAGCAAAAGCCCTTCTAAAAAGCTTTAATACGTTGTTTCCTTTGTTTTCCTGAAATATTTCTATGGGCTCTGCGTGTCAGATGCAGCAGCTCCTGCCAGACCCATACCTGTTTCCCACATCATGCAGTTGCTGTCTGGGTGCTCGTTCCTGCAGTCTGATGCTGCTTTGTGTGCCATGACAGCGATTTGCAGACAGAAATGTGGGACATGATTATCTTTAGCAGAGCTATTTTGGGACGTAAATACAAGAGAGTCCCGATCATGCACACCGACCCTGTCATTTGCCTGATTGATGGGGAGGCTTTGTATTGTCTGCAGCTAATTCTCTGAGAGACAGGCGCTGAGCAGGCATGTGATTTTCTGCGGAGTTATCGCTGCCTGATTGTCCTACGCCTCACAGCACCAGGAAATTTGATTTAAGTGATGTGCAATAAACTTTCTGATTACTGACACACGTTATAATGAATCGCTTCTGACAAATCTGACTTGGGTTTGTTATGTGGTGTCTCCCACATTTCACCGTGCAACTTTACTATATTCATTCTCTGAAGGCTTTTTAATGGATGAGTTTAAGCTGGAAATGTGGGGTTTTTCTTTTGGTTTGGAGTGCAGTTTTCTGTGTTCCCTTTTCCCTTCCATGTCAGCAGGACTGCCCAGCCCTGGCCGTGTTTGGGCAGAGCCTGCAGTGCCCAGCCAGGCTGGACGGGGCGTGGGGCAGCCTGGGGCTCTGGGAGCGTCCCTGCCACGCACAGGGGCTGGATCGAGATGGTTTCCAAGGTCCCTTCCAAGCCTCTGTGATTCTACAGATGCCATGTGAGTTTAGGTAAAACAGGAGAATGAGTTCATTCAGCCTCAGCCCCGGCGTTAGCTCACCTGGACTGCCAGTACAATAACTGTTACTTTGGGAATTCACCACACTGAATGTGCTGAGCAGGTAGAGGTGGATCTGTGACTGCAGTGGAAGGGCTTGTCATCTTAACATGAACCTGAGAAAAATCCTGGCAGAGGTCTGCCCTGGGTCCTTGCCAGGAGACGTAGCTGATTAATAAATAATTGAGTTTTATTTGTCTTCCAGGCATTTTTAAAAGCTATTGAAGACTTCCTGTTACTGTCTGACTGGATTGATGGACCAGAGGTAAGACAGATGGGCTTAGATTTGTGATTTCCTCAGTTGCACAAATTCACATGATGATGACAGACACTGTTACTTCACTTGCTGGGACTTTTTGGCACTGTGACTTATTTTATTATCTGGCACTGATGAAATACCTGCAGGGTGAATCCAGAAGTTTCCTGGGTTTTTTTCTTGAATCTTAAGAAAACACAGATTTCAGAAGAAAGAGCTTTTAAACTGAGAGAAGGAGAACCTAAAGCACAGGGAGGTCTCATTGAAGCCTAAAATGCTTTTGAGACAAAAAGATGTCTAATTGATTTAAGTTCTTAGTGTGAAATCCTTGATCATCTCTGGTGTAAATGGATTTCAGATAAAATAGGTTTCCTTTTCACTGAAACATGCATTAACTCTGAGACTTTATGAATCAGGTTTCAACCAGGAGGGTTAAAGTTGCTTTTATACCGAGGAGCATTTGAATAAAGATGAAAGAAAGGCCAAACTGTCTCAGCTGGTGTTCCAAGAAAGACCTGATACCAATCTTTAGATATTGTCAAAGACGTTCTGCCCAGTTCCTGGCCTCATTCTCTGAGGGCTCTGAGTGCAGCTGGCTGTGGGGCTGTGGAGCAGCACTCCCTGGGCTGTGCTAAAGCAGCACTTGGGAATTACACCCTGCACGGCCTCGCTCTGTGGGACACCTTCTGCAGGGAGGGTGGGACCCCCGGGCTGGGCAGGGGCTCCAGGGCCCCCTGGGCTTCCTGCTCACCCCATGTCTCTCTGTCTGTCCCTGGGCTGTGCTCAGTCCCTGCTGACCCCTGTGTCTGTCTGTCCCTGGGCTGTGCTCAGTCCCTGTGTCTGTCTGTCCCTCTGCTGTGCTCGTCCCTACTCACCCCGTGTCTGTCTGTCCCTGGGCTTGGCTCAGTCCCTGCTCGGCTCTGTGTCTGTCTGTCCCTGCTCACCCCATGTCCTTCTGTCTGTCCCTGGGCTGTGCTCAGTCCCTGCTCAGCCCTGTGTGTGTCTGTCTGTCCTTGGGCTGTGCTCAGTCTGTGTCTGTCTGTCCCCGCTCACCCCGTGTCCATCTGTCTGTCCATCCGCAGGGCCTGGCCATGCTCAGCAGCCTGATCCACACCATCGACACGGTGCTGTCTCACCTGTCCCTCCACCTGGAGGGGAGCTCGCTGCCGCTGACCCTCGAGGGCTCCTCGGCCGTGGCAGGTGGGGCTGCACAGCTGCTCCCCCTTCCCAGAGCTCCTCACCCCTCTGCCAGGGCCAAACTGGTTTTATTGGGGCAGGTGATGGCTCTGGCTGTTCTTGGGCTTCCCTGGGGTTAGCTGGGGAGGAATTCACAATTAGAGTTGTGTGTCAAGGGCTCAGTAATGCCATGGTAATGAAGGGCCTAGAGCTCATTTGCAACCCCTGAGGTTTGGGTGCCAGGAATTCACAATTAGAGTTGTGTGTCAAGGGCTCAGTACTGCCATGCTAATTGAGTTAAAGAGCCTAGAGCTCATTTACAGCCCCTGAGGTTTGGGCGCCTCAAAACCTCAATCTTTGCAAGGGTTTTCCAAGAGACTGAAAATGATGGGAATAGTTTTGACCTTTTTGGAGAATTTTATTATGCTGCAGGTCAGCATCTTAGCACCTTAACTTCATCTGCATCTGTGGATGCTGCAGGCATCAGAGGTGTTTAATCTGTCCTGGCTGCCTCTGTGCCTGGCTGAGACCCCTGTGAGGGGTAATAACCTGAGCAGTCCCTGCAGCACCCTTCACACCTCTCCCACACGGGGTCTCAGATGCAGGAGTGGTGCTGCAGTGCAGGAGTGCTGCAGGTCTGCTCTGCTGCCCTGGGGCTGGGCTCTGAGCCTGCCCGGGGATCCACGGAGCAGTAAAAGTGCACAAACCTGCTGTGCCACAGAGCAGAGCAACAAGGCAGTCTGGGGCTGGGGGAGTCACACGCTGCCTGCAAAGGTCGGGGGTCAAACAGGAGTGTTTCAGTAGCTGCAGTCGCTCTCAGGGCGGGCTGGTTAAGCAGTCAGAGGTGATTTGCTGATGTTCCTGTCTGGGTTATCACACAGATTACGCTGTGGTCAAAATGCATCCTCAGAGCCTGAATGTGTCCCACTATCGATTCCCATCCCGAGGGCAGAGCTATATTTCCATCCCCAGTGAAGCTTTCCATGGAAGAGGTAAGGAAAGGATTAAAGAGAGAAGTGGACTCGTGTGCACAGGGTATCTGAAAATGATTTTGCTTTAGAGCAGGTTTTGGTTCACTTTATTTTTCCAGGTAACTGATTTGATCCCTGTGGATTGCACTGAGTCTGAGGGAGCAGCAGTGATCCTGTCAGGCTAACGAGCAATTAATGTGGTGGAGTTTTCATACTAATTGGATTAATATTGAATAATGGGGCTGAGCAACAGAGACTGAAGCCATTAAATTCTGACATATTTTTACATCAGAGAAGCCATAATTTCATAATTATTCTTTTTAATTATCTGAACTGGTTATTTTTAAGAAATTCTAGGATGTCAGGTCAGGTATTACCTATCCCTTCATGCAAAATTGGTCTTTTGTCTAAAATTAAACTATAAAATGTTTAATTTTATGACAGGTTTAAGCAATAGCAGCTACAGGAACAGAATGAAGATGTAGACTGCACTCATGGCAAAAAGGCAGACTCAGAAATCCATACCTGTGCAAAAATTTTAAAAACCCCAGAAAGAAGCATGGCTAAAATCTGCACCTTTAGTCAAGACTATAAAAATGCAATGTCAAGTTAATTATCTGTGCTTTACTCAGAGGTTGAAGGAACCCATTTACAAAAGCACCTGCTTCCATTCTCAAACCTTTGAAAATCTGACTTAGGTGCCCTAAATTCCAGCCCACAGAATTGACTCACCCAGAGGCTTTTCTGCAGTCACCTGTGCAGAGGGATGGTCGATCCCTCTTTCACAAAGTGCAAAGTTAGCTGAAAATAACCTGCAGTGAGAAATTCTCTGATAATTACTGAACTGTCTGCCTGATTTGTGGCGACAGCTTTGTTTCTTTGCACTGGCAGGGGCTCTGGCTGGAGACTGCAAGTCCTCCCAGGTTTGAATAACTATAATTGCAAACCAACTTGTAATGCCAAAAATAGCATGTGAGAGGAGATTTTTCCTTTCCCACTTCTACAGTTCCTCACCATACAGATTCTCTTTGATTTTCCAGAACATTGTCATGCTTTGTATCCTGAAATGATCCAGGGCATTCAATGTTTTACTCTTTTCCAGCTGAAGCTCACTTCTGAGCAATTTCAGCCTTCAGGCCACACTTCTACACTGTCCAGAAAAGCTAACCTAAAAAATCTGTTATTTCACCTTAAGCAGCTGGCTCTATAAATACTTGGAACCTGACAAAAGGGATAGTAAAAGCCATCTGTGTGGCTCCTTCTGAGGACACACACGTGTGCCTCTTCCCTCAGGTGCTGGGGAAGTCACCTGCAACGTGGGCAGCACACAGCCCTGGGACTGGTGGCCAGGCTGGAGTTTCCCCAGCTGCCAGCCAGTGCTGGGGGTGCCCTGAGACCCTGGGGGCTCCCAGGGGGGCTCTGCTGTGTCCTGACCCCTCCTGCTGCTGGGGGTGTTGTCATTGACCGTGGATGCATTAGCAGCTGAGTTTGGAGTGCAGCTGTGCAGCACAGGCATCCCTGTTCCTGCTGAGGTGCCTGTGCTGTGCAGAGTTCACACCCTGTCACTGGGCAGAGCACGCAGAGCCCTGCCAAAGCCAGGTGTGCAGGGCTGTGCAGCTCAGGGCTCTCAGTGAGCAGAGCTGCAGCCCTGGCAGGGTTCTGTGCTGGCCCTGCTGCTCTGAGCAAGGACCCCGTTCTCTCCACAGCCTGCATCACCATCGTGGGCCTGCTTTACCACAGCATGCATCACTTCTTCAGCAACATCGACCCCCTGCACACCAGGTGAGTGCCTGGGCCCTGCAGCAGGTAGCAGCCTGTTTATTCTGTGTGCTACACCTGGGCACAGGTGTGTCCTGTCCTTATCAGCTGTGACAAATGACAAGCCATAACCCTGTAGTGCTGAGGGCGTGTGGTCATTAACCAGGCAGGGATTAAAGTTTACACTGCATGTTTTATTTTAGGTGGCAATAAAATAGATTCCATAGCAACATGTTTGTCTTTTTGTCTTCTCCTTCCACTCATCAGATCTGGTACCACAATGTCATAATTTAATCTGTCTCATAAAAGGAAATTGTGTTTTTTCTCCTAGCACTTATGAAGATAAAGCTTGCACTTAAATGAAACAAGTAAGGAAACATCACATCCCTCTTTAGACAAAATCTGAATCCTATTCCTAGAAAGCCATAAGGTAATTTTATAACAGGAGACCAGGCAATTGTTCAAAGACCTTCTGCTTCACGTACCACACCGGTGAAATCGTGAGCAGATAAGATACAGTGAATGCAGAGCTGTAGAACCTCTGCAGTGCAGCTCCCGGGGGTTTGCAAGGCCACTCGTGCAAACTCTTACCTGGTCCTCTGAGCAAGTGCAGGACTGCTTTCATTCCACTTGGGCTGTGCGGATCAGCTCCCACTGTCTGTCTGTCTGTCTGTCTGTCCCACTGGACTTGTTGCTGCCAGCAGGAAAGGAGCAGCATCCCAGCCCCAGGGATTGCCAGGGACAGCCAGGCATTGCCAGAGAGTGCCAGGGGCTGCCAGGGATTGCCAGGGAGTGCCAGGGACTGCGAGGAGCTGCCCCTCTCCCTGCCCTCACTCCCTGGTGCCCATGGGGGTGCAGAGCCCTGCCTGGCTGCCCCAGGTCTCAGTGCAGGCTGCTCACCCCCAGTGATCCCTCAGCCATTCCTCAGTGGCATTGCCCAGCCCGTTCAGGCTGTGCTGTGCCATGCCATGCCATGCCATGCCGCCCTGCCCTGCTCTCTCAGGAGGACACTCAGCTCACACAGGTGGCTCCAAGGCAGCTCTGCCTCCACTCTGCAATATTTTGTACTCACAGGAAGAAATTGAGGCAATAACTTATGAGAGCCTATGTTTTCCAAAGAGGAGGATCAATGCAATTTATTAAGGTAATGAGACGTAATCTCAATTTTTCAAAGGGAGAAAGAATTTAAATGATCCTGGCTCAGGTCAGAGTTTATTGAATATGCTGCATATCAAAGCTCTGTGTTCTAAAGCACTGTCCCAGGTCTGGGGCTCTGGCAAGCAAATGGAACAGATCTGTAATCTTTGAGTGCATTCCCTGAAATCTGTGGCACAGGACAACCTGGGCATCCATTCCTGTTCCCCTGAGCTGGCTTTGATTTCAGCACTCATCTGGAGAATGAAGGGTCTGCCCTGTCACTGTGTTAAAAAAACCACAAAGTCTTGGGAGAAGAAATGTTTCCTAGATTTCTACAATTAATTCAAACTGCTTGAAATGTTTGCAGTATGTTAAGCACTACAAGATCAGGTCCTTAAAACTGTGGATGCAGGTCTGCCCAAACCAGCATCCAGAAAGGTAATAATTCAGGGAATGCTGCCTTAGCAATTCTTCCTCTGGAGCCAAAGCCCAGGTACTCAAGGATGTTTTAAAAATAAGTATGCACTTCTCTTCTGCTTGCTTTTCTTTTCTGTGCTCTACTGTTATAACTTTTTTGCTTACTTTTCAGTAGAATAATTTTTTTTCTCAGAGTAGTTTGTTTTAGAGAGTTTCTTTTGTGTTCCTTCTACCACTGGGCTTCTTAAATACCTGTAATTTGAAACCCAACCTTTTTCTTTTTTTGTGGTGGAAAACCAAAACCAAACCTCCTGGAGCTTTGTGCTGTACAGGCACAGAACTATTTTCAGACCCCATAAATACCAGTTTCTAAGGGGAGCACTTTTGATGCTTTCCCCAGAGAAGATGAAGCACAGCAATGTCCCGAGCCCGTTCTGCTGCTGCTCACAGGCAGTTTGTGTAAACGTGGGCCTGACACCCAGGGCCAGGGTGAGGAGAGGCTGTGCAGGCACAGGAGCACCCTGCCCTGCTTGTGGTGAAGTGTCACACTCCAGAATTCACCAAGGTCTCTAAAGGTAAAACAAGCAGGTGTGGAAAAAGCGTCCACGCTCTTAATCTGTGTAGGACAAACCCCAAAGTGTTGGAGAATGAGTTTAACTTCACAGGTCCTTATCTAAACTTCAATTTGTTGCATCAGAGTAGCAAATTCTGCCTTTGGATGAACAAGTTCTGTTGCCATGCTGGTTTCTGGGAGCAGAAGTAATCTCTGATCCTGATGTGTTTTTAAGGTCAGAGCTGAGGGGTTGTGCTAAATGAGTTCTGTTCTGTGGCCCTGCCAAGGAGCTGAGTGCAGTTATTTCAACATCCCACGTGAGGTTTTTGGGGCTTTTTCTGAAATAAAAATAAGAAACCACTGCAGACAGGTGGTGGGTGTAAACAAGGTGGTTTTTCATTTGTTTCAAACTGGCCCTTTCCAGATGGGCTATGTTTGGGAGCCCAGGCTGCTGGTTAATTCACCCAGGCTCGGATTTCTCGTGGTAAAATCCATTCATCCACCTGCTCAAGGGACAGATGACAGCAGGCATTTAATCCTGCAGTTTGTTACTCAGAGTGTAAAAAATTATACCCTGAAACCAAATGGATCTCAGTTACTCCTAAATGTGTGAAAATGCCAAACTCATAATTTTACCTTAAAATAAGGGTTCTTATGTACTGCAAAATCGCTTCCCACTGGAATAAATTAATTGCCAGGACTAATCAGCTATTTAGTCCAGTTCAGCTGTGTGTATTGTGACCTGTCTTTCCCTCTAACAAATCTAACTGGATATCATGTATTTGTTAAGGTAAAGCTATAAATAACTTCTAAATACATTCCTATGCTTATTCTGTGCATTTTGTCTGTGTCCCACGCACTGATTTATCTGTTTGGTCAGCCAGCCTGAAAGCCCCTGCAAGTTTCCTACTCACTTTCAGGGAGTTGTTTAGATCCCTCCATAGGATTCTCCCCAGTTCCCTCCATCACTTTCAGCAAGGCTTGTAAACCTTTGCAGGCAGGAGCAGAGTGAAGGAGGAGCTTTGATGTCAGCCCCCAGGTGTCCAGGGCTTTCCCTGTCCTTTACATGTCCATGGCCTCCAGTCCTGGAGGACCCTTTGGGGCCAGACCTGGCTGCCCTGGAGGAGCTCCTTGGCTTGAAGGGAACAAGGAGGTCCTGCGTTCCTTTGCTGCTATGTATGAACTAAAAACCGGTTATCTTCCTTAACATATGTCCTTCTTTCCAAGGATTGCTGAAGCTGCTGCCCACAAAGGCTCCATGATCTCAGCCAGCAGTTATCTCATCTCTATCAAGGTGGAGCCTCTGCCCCAGCTGTCCCCCAACCTGTCGGGCTCTCCCCTCATCACCATCCAGCTCACCCACACCCTGGTAAGTGAGTGGAGCTGCTGCTCTGGGCTGGCACAGCTTCCCTCCTGGGACCCTTTCTTTGTACTTCTCCCATGATTTTTGTGGGCACTTTAGTAGCAATTCAGTTCCATTTGTGGCTACCACATTCTGTTTTCCCCACCATTATGGCTTCTCTTTCCATCCCTGCAAAAGGCTGAAGAGTGCTGTGCCCAGGGCAGCTGGAGGCCCCTGGGTGTGCTCTGGGGTGGAGTGCTGCTTTCCCACTGCAGTGCTCAATAACAAGGATTCCCTTGTGGGTTTGCTTTTTGATCTTGGTCCGCACTGAGATAACGGAGGGGCTTTGATGGTTTGATGTCAGTGGAATGGAGAGGAGTTCAGACTCTGAGGTGCTGGAGGAGGCAGTGCAGCATCTCTGCCCCACTTACAGCCGTGAACGGGAGCGGCAAGGAGAGATTTAAATTCTTAAACAGTTCCTAGAATACATCTCTTAGATGTTCTTCTGAATATTTTATCATATTTTTCTTTCAAAGCTATTTTCAAGCCGGTTTATCTTCTTTCTGTTGGGCTCTTGGTAAAGCTGGCTGAGCTGCAGAAGCAGGGAGGATCCCCGAGGCCCAGGAGTGAAGTGTGTTGTTCTGCTGACAGTTTTCCAAACTGAGAACTCCCAAATGTCCCCAGAGGCCTCTTAGAGGTGGGCACTTGTGAAGATCTGCACGGATCATTTCCAAAAAGCACTTTGCTGTATTTACCCAGGTTCCTCCCCGAGGTGCAGTGGTGATGATTTCCTGGCAGGCTCTCAGACAAACCTGTGGGTTTTCCTTGCTGGGCCACAGGAATGCTGCATTTGTCAGGCACCCTTCTTTGCAAGGCAGCAGGGCCCCCGAGGGTGGGGTGGCCACGGCTGGTTCCTCTGTGGCAGAGATGGGGGCTGGCACTCGGGCTCCTCCTCACCCCTCTGTGCTTTCATTCTGGGTCCCTCACAGAGCTCTTTGGCTGATGGGCAGTGCCATCACAATGCTCGCAGAATTTGCCAGGAGGACTGCTTGCCTCTGCCACCTCTGGCTGTTAATTGATGGTTGAGTTTAACATCAGGAATGGGTGAACAGGTGATTCCTGGTGGGCTGCACTGGCCCGGACCTGCTCTCCTGTACACTGCTGTGAATCCCACGGGACCATTCTGGACAATATGAATCTAGACAACTGTAAATTTACTGAGGGAAATGACTTCAGCAAGTTTAGAGAAGTAAATCCAAGTGAATTTACTTCAGCAGGCTGGGAGGTGGCTCTGTGTGCCTGGAAGCTTTCAGCTGCCAGCAGCACAGATCCCTCCTGATGTCACTTCACTCTGGAGGGTTTCCTTTGGCTGAGAAGGGCTCCTCATGGAATAAAGGTAGAATTTAAAATGTAAAAGAAATTCTGGCTGCAAGATCATTGTGTTAAAGTAGGTGCTTTAAAGAGTAACAGTCAAGTTATTTATCCAAGGTTGTGATTGAATGATGTGTTTAAACTGAGAGCATAAAACTGGCTTGGAAACCTGTTTTATCCATTAAAACACTGCAGTAATGGCAGAAACATTTGAAGTGGATACCATTTCATTCTTATAGCTGTTTGTTTGTTCCACATGATGTTCTCAGTTTAGCAGAGGAAAGTGTAATAAGAAAAAGTAAAAAATACCAAGTCCAAACAAATAGTTTTTCTTTATTAAAAGTTTCAGTCTGACTTCTTAATTCCTCTCCTTCTAATGTGTGTAGGAAAAATGCCAATCACTGAGCAACAGAAAACAAGAGGAAGTTGGAATAAACCAAGTCTATTTTAGGAAATAGTTACAAAGAGAATGCCTGTGAACTGAATATCACCTCGTGAAACAAAACTTCACAGAGCATTTATCATCCCACAGCTTAGCTCGCGGTGAGTTAAATCCCCCTCAGGCAGGGTTTTCTCTGAAATGTCCGCAGTTCTCACACAGCTCCGAGGAGCTGGTGAGGTCAGGAAATTTCCCTCTCGTTTTAAAACACCAGGTGTTCCAAACTGGGGCTAATGTCTAATTAATCAGGGAAGGATACAGGGAATGTCTGTCAGTGATGTGTCAGTGCTGCCCTTGGCAGGGAGCAGCGAGGGGCAGAGCTGGGGCTGTGGGGCTGAGAAGGCACCTGAGCTGATAAAAAACCTGTTAATTCAGGTTAATTCGGGTTAATTTGGGTCAATTCATGGACCAGGGAGAGCAGGCTGGGCTCTGCCAGGGTATTGGCTGTAATTGCAACACAGTCTCTGTGAACACTGAATATATTTAATTTCTCTTTTTCATCAGCAAAATTTTGCCTGAATTAAGCCCTCTAAGAGATAATTTAATACTATATTAATTATTGATTAATTAATTATCTATTAATTAATTATTAATACAATTTAATACAGTACATTGCAATGGTCAGTTGATATTCAGGAACACTTCAGGGACAGACAGAACTTTTTTGACAGATTTAAAAAGTGGAGGTGCTCTGCTCTTCACCAGCTCGGATGAACTACTGTGTCCAGCAGAACAGAGCACAGAAATTCACAGAAATTCACAGAAATTCACAGAAATCCCAAACACCTCCAGGGCGTGGGGGAGGATGTGGAGACTGAGGGTGGTTTGAGGCTGGAGACAGCTCAGTCTTGACCTGTCCAGATGTTTTGTAGTGAGGCAACAGTACATTTTGTAAAACGATTATCTGAAAAAAAAAAATCGGTTTCCAGCAAGATGTTTTTCATAGCAGGAACAACTAGAGAAGAACTAACATTTCACTTCTGTGATCCAAGAAATTACAGCACAGGGTAGAAATTTAGAAGAGATGAATGTCAGGGCTGAAATGCAGCACCCTGTGCTCTGGAAAAAGTCAGAAGAGGCAGCAGAGGAGGAAATTGTGTCAAGCAGCACCAGTATTTTGTAAAACCCATATGGCTGCACAGCACAGCTTGACTTGTGCCCATGCTGAAGTTACAGTTTGACACTCCTGGGGACAAAGTGAGCTGTAAATTCTTGTGTTTCAGGCAACTTTCAGCTGGTAGGAGCAGCAGCAGGGTGAAAATCCAGGCACATTTAGTACAAAGAGGGCACAGAAGTGCCAGGGACAGGTGGGGGGACAGGAGGGCAGCAGTCACAGCCTGGGTGCTGCTCAGAGCTCTGTGGGTCCTCACTCCTGACTGGCACTCCAGAGAAAATTGCCTCACACCTGGAAGAAAACTCCTTTTACACTCATTTTTACCACTTTGAGATTTCTCCAGGGCTTTATTTTCTTGTTGCTCTTTCCAGAAGAGGAACATGTGCAGCTGCAGTTTTGGAGAGTTATGAGCTCCTGGCTGCTGCACCCTCTGTGAGAATCCTCTCATGAAGATTAGATGCAAATTGGGAATTCTTAATGCAGCTGTTTTTCCCTCAAATATAGTTTGGGGCAGTGCCACTTGAAAGAATTGTTTGGTTCTGGGAAAAAGGCATGTTTTACTGAGATACTGCAAGTCAGGACTAATTTCGCATTGTTCCACTCAGTCCTTTGCCCAGCGTGGTCCATTTCAACAAACACAGTGCTTGGGGAACTGAGAGGTGCTCATCCTTCCTGCCATGCTCCTGCACTGAATCGTTAAACAGCTGCTCCTCTCCTTTTTGTGAGGAGCTGCCTGTGCTCTCCCTCTTTGGGCAGTGAGTGCTTCCCATCAGGACCCTGCTGGGACCCTGCCCTTCCCCACTGAGGCTTCAGCAGCTCCTCTTGATCATCAGCCCCTTCCTCTGCCAGCCTCTCCTCTCCATTATCATCAGCCCCTTCCTTTAGCATCTCCTCCTCTCCATTATCATCAGTCCTTTCTTCTGTCAGCTTCTCTCCATTACCATCATCTCCTTCCTTCAGCAGCTTCTCTCGGTTATATCTCCTTCCTTCAACATATTTTCCTCTCCATTATTATCAGCTCCTTCCTTCATCAGTTTCTCCTCTGGATTACCAGCTCCTTCCTTCCTTTATCATCTTCTCCTCTCCATGATCATCAGCTCCTTCCTTCAGCAGCTGCTGCTCCTAGTCCCTCCCCTGCTCTCCCAGTCCCTCTCCTGCTCCCAGTCCCTGTCCTGCTCTGTTCCTGGCTCTCCCAGTCCCTCTCCTGTTCCTGGCTGTCTTGCAGGAGCTGCAGGAGCACCTCAGCATTCCTGGCTGCAGCCGTGCAGGCTCCACAGACCTTCTGCACAAACTCAGCCTGCTTCACAACACCGCTCCTCACTTGTTCCTTCTCACTGAGCTTAAAATGAGGCAATGGGAGTTTTGCCCGAAAACTCACCAAAGCTCATCCTTTCCTCTCTCTTTTTCCTGGTCAGGCCACACCCCAAGGTTTGTTTAACATCATTACTGATAAGAAAATAAAATAAGGGAAGAAGCAATTCCCGTTCATACACAAATATTAGTGCTGCCCTGAGAGAGGCAAATCAATGTGGAGCCAATTAATTTTTATGGCCAGTTAAGTGTTGGCTAATTTGTATATTGATTGATGAAAAAACAATGAATCTTGCCCACATCTGCAGAACAAAGGTATAATTTTTCAGTGGATGGACTTTGACAGAGAAAACATGACTAAAATACAATTGAAACTGTGACTCTTGCAGAATGTACCACAATTAGGCAAAGAGAAAAAATACTAATCAAGCTCATGATTTTCAGGTGCTTTGTTAGACAAGTTAAATCCTTGCTATGAGGAGCACAGGAACTGCAGTGGCTCAGAGAGGGCAGAGCACTCACGGTTCAGAGGCAGCAGAGGAGGAGAGGGCACCTTGGGGTTTGTCCCCAGGAGCTGGGGCTGCGCTGGGGCTGCTGGGTGTGACAGTGACGGCCAGCGAGGGCTGGGCTGCTGTTCTAGCAGATGGCAGCTTCTGAGGAGGGGTTACCCCTTTCTGAAAGAAAAACAGGAGTGCATCCTTCCCTGCTGCAGAGGCAGCGCGGGCTGGCTCAGAGCACGGTCCTGCAGGACAGGGAGGAGCTGAGCCAGCGCTGCACTGCTGCCAGCGCTGC